GTTTAGATTCGGGGCCAACGAAAGTTTCCTTTGAAGAGGAAACTTTACAGCTATGACCTTTGATATATATAGGAGTTGACCAGGCTACAAGTGGTGGATAGGGGTCAGGGAAAGAGCTTTTTAGGCAGTAGGGTCCACGTGTACAAAGGCCAAAAGTCCTATATAAGGAGCATGTTGGTTTTTTGAGGAAATGAAAGAAGACTGGTATTAGAGTTGGGAGGCTGGGGAAGTGGGCATGGGCTAGATCACATAGACTTTGGAGACCATGTTAAGTATTTTGTTCTTTAATCCAACAGTGATAGTAGAAAGTCTTTAACAGTTTTACACAGCTGAAAGATAAGGTTGCTTTTGCTTCTCTGAGAGTTCAAGCTGGCTGTTTTGTGGAAAATGGTTTTGGTTTGGGGCTAGAGGGGAAGAGAACATAAAAATAAAAGTGGAGAGACATCAGGAGGTTATTGCACTAGTGCAGGAGATCTGGAGACTTCATATTAGAGAAATAGCATTGCCAACAGAGAGAAGGGATTCTGAGCTGAGAGATATTGTGGTCTTGGTGATAGCGTAGATATGGGGGATTGAGGGAGAAAGGTGTACATTTCTGACTGATACAGTTGAATGGATGGGATTATAATTCACTAAGATCCTAAGAAGAATGGAGGAAGAACAGGTTTTGTGGCAAGGGATTGAGAGTTTAGTTTGGAATATGCCATTCAGAAAATTCGCTCCAGTTTACATTTTCACATTTCTATGTGAGACCTGTGTCACGTTTGTTTCAGGGTTCTGATCTGTACAGATTTGAGTTTTAGAAAGATTATTCTGGTTGGAGGCCAGAGACCAGTTAGCCTGTGAGCTTTTTGAGTTAGGGAATCTTACCTGTACTGTGTCTGCCTTTGTATCCCTGTACCTAAGCAGGCAGTGTTGGCATATAGTAGGTACTCAGTAAATAATGTTCAAAGAACAAGTGCTTATAGGTGAGATAGGTTTAAGTAGAGATTGATAGGTTTAAGTAGAGATTGATAGACTTGGGAGTTTCCAGGGTAGGCTCAACAGGGCTTGGATGTAAAGATGGAAGAAATTTTTTTTCTTCCTTGGCCCTTGGTGTTGAAGAGCTTTTCAATTGCTCCAGGATGCTAGAAGTCTCCGTATGTGTAGCCATCGATGTATCAGTGTGTGTTTTTTTGCTCAGTATTTATTTGTTTAGAACTCTGTCGATTAGAGATCAACAAGCTGTAATTATTATACTACTAGCTTCAAGCTATTTGTAACTGTAGTTTTTTTTTTCTCTCTCTCTGCTAACTTCTCAAGCCCAGAACCCTCTAAAAGCTTAGCAGCTCTGGTGGTGGGGGAAGTTGTAGCAGCAAAGGAAATTTATAGCAGAGCAGCAAGCAGTAGTTGGTATGTAGAAGCTGTCCAGCAGTTGAATGTAAATAGGATTTACTTACATGCTTTCCATTTTACAAATGGAAACATAAGCCCTAAAAAGACTTGTCAGAACATATGCAGCTACTCATTTTAAGCCCAGATTTCCCTGATCCTGAGGTGGTGCTTACCACAGTCAAATTCTTGACAGATCAACCAAATCCATATACTTTTAAATTTTTCACTGATTGCTAACATGACTACATGTTAGTTTTACTACTACTTAACGCTTCTGGAACCTGCTCTTTGGGGCCTGTGGAATATGTTCACTTAGCCATGACCTTGTTCTTGTGTTGTGCTAACTACTACCAGTTTATATCGCTTCTCTATCCTGTTTGCTTTCAAAATGGTTGATAATATTGCCTCTCAGAGTCCCTTTCCATTTTCAACTTGGAAAGGGGTATCTTTTGTTATTTCCTGCTTTGTTGCCATGACCAATGTGTACTGAACAATTGTTTTTATCTTTGAAAGTTTACCAGATTTAAGTAGGCTGGCCTTGTTGCAGCAATCCCAGGTACTGTGGAATCCAAGTCTGTCAGGTTGACAGTTTGGGGCCTTTGTATGTGTGGTGAATACATGTGTGGGCACAAAGGCAGGGTGGGCGAGTACAGCAGAGAAGGGGAATAGGTGGAGGTTTAGATAGTATATTTTCAAGGAATATTTTCAGGGAGATAAAGGAATCTGCTTATAAAATTTCATGTTTTGTAGAATATTTGAAATTGGATCCAGGGTAAATTTTTTCTTTCAGATGTTTAGTCAGTCAGTTTTGGTTCTGACATTTTAAGACTAGAACTCCTATTTCTGTCTAAAAAAGAAGCGTTCTGTGGTGTTGCATAGAGTGTTGGTATATGCATATTAATGAGTTAACCAGCCTTTACAGGAAAGATGATGAATGGGAAATGGGTACTGGAAATCTCATTCTATACCATGTTATTACATGTAGCTCTCTTATATTATCATCCCTCTGTATTCTGTGAGGTACACATTTTATAGATGATGAAACTGAGGCTTAGCAAGTTTAAGTATCTCTCTGAAGGTCATGCAGCTAATTATTAATGGAGCTATCATTTAAACCTAAGCTTTTTCTGGCTGCAAAAATTGTACTTTAAAAAAAAAAAGATTTTATTTATTTGACAGAGAGAGATCACAAGTAGGCAGAGAGGCAGGAAGTGGGGTGGGGGAGGGGGGAAGTAGGCTCCTCACTGAGCAGAGAGCCGGATGCAGGGGCTGGGTCCCAGGACCCTGAGATCATGACCTGAGCTGAAGGCAGAGGCCCAACCCACTGAACCACCCAGGTGCCCCCAAAATTGTACTTTTAATAACAACATTTTCCTGCATTTTCAGATGTATAAAGTAACTTTCATCTTTTGTGTTTTCCTCTTCTCCAGTTTCATAATCTTTTACGGTGCATGTAGTTACTGACTAATCAATCTAGTGGCTTAAAACTAAAGGAGGCTGAGTGAGCTACAACTGTCACTATTCCACTGGGAAAAGGTTGTGGACAGATGTGGGAGGGGATCAGAGGAGGCTGTCTGACTTTTCATGAAAATAGTATTGCCTGCATTTCTGTACTGAGGCCTTGTTAGTGGCTCCATAGTATCAGGTCTTGGCCTTGTGTTCCTCAGAGGCAAAGAGACTTTACATACTCTATAATGGGATCTGGAGAAATTCCACAGCTGTGACAGTGGCTTAGAGGATTGGGAATCAGCGTCTGTGGACTTAGGGCCTGGAAGCAAACAACGTTAACATTCCACAGCTAACTTTTAGTTAGTGTTGTGGCTTCTGGTTGTGTTAGCAAACAAATATATTTTAACTATCTCGTTACGCATTCTAGAATCTGGAGCAAAGAGAAAATGGTAAAGAAACACGAAATATTAGCTTTTGGTCCCATTATTAATCCCCTATAACTTAAATCATACACCTATATTCCTTTATGAAAACTGTAGCCCAGTGTAGACACACAAACCCAGAGAAACCTCATTTCTATCTGTTGAGGCCTTTCATTTTGTTTTTATATAGTTCCCCACCACTGAAAGATATGTATTCATCATTTGCGTGTATTAGCTGTGTGGCAGACCCTCTGTGCAAATCCATTTAGGGATTTCAAGCGGCTGAAGGTCTTTTCAGAAGATAAATCTGAGCCTATCAAGATAGTTGCAATAAGAAGGTACTGGGATAAAATTTCAGGCAGAGAACACCACCTGGTGGTTATAGGGAGGATTGGAGCTTTCTGTATTTATAGTACTTGCCATAGTATCTGAATATTAAGACAATTACATTCTTATTTATAATTGTGAGTTCAGATTTCTAAGAATAATTTTTTGCCATACTTCTAGCATTGTTTCATTAAAGTGGCTGTCAGAACCTGCAGACTAACCAAGTAATTGTGTCTGGCAGAATTGAAGTCCAGTGCCCTTGGCTCTTCCAACAGATCCTGTTTATCTCTGTAAAGAATCATTTGGTGTCTTTTCATTCTTTATTGCAACCTCTAACTTTGATATCATGCTTATTTTATATGGTAAACCTCTGCCTAGTGGAATGATGGAGAAGGAAACATTAGTGACTTCTCAGTAATTTTTTGGCAGGTATCATATAAAAGCAAGTTGTTTTTTTCCTGCTTAAAAACTATGAAGAGGAGTTTGATGATTTTCCAGAGTGATTAATAGAATGAGCAAAGTTGGCAAGGGGTGGGAATTATATAAGTTTTTTATTAAAATGTATAACTGAGATTTCTTTTTTATTGCAGTAAGCATCTTTGTTATTTGACAGTCTTGAATTGAGAGAGTTCTGTAGTTGGGTAAAGTGGGGACATCAGCTCAAGGGGAGAAGATCCTATTAAGTTAATCAGGATGCATATTTTATAGGCCTAGTGGGGAGGGGAAGATAAACAAAGTTTTAAATTTCAGGCTGAGACTTGGGCTGGCATGGCATGTCTGTATCTTTTTTCCTGGTAGGAAAACTGAATCCAGGCCCGACAATCTTTGAAAAGTTTCTTGAGAGAAGGCTATTCACGCAAGATACTAAATGGAATGTGATGTGACTTTGCACTGTTCTCCTGGGATACTTTTTTATATGAGTAACAGTGTTATAACATCCGCATTTTAGCAATCATATTATCAAATACTGTAAAAAGCTGCTCCATACATACATGCCCACATACTATATAATTCCACTCACATGAAATATCCAGAATTGGCAAATCTATAGAGACAGAGAGATATGTGGTTGCCAGGGTCTGGTGGGGAGGAATTGAGAGGAAATAGGGGGTGCCTTTTAATGGGTTTGTGATTTCTTTTGGGGGAGATGAAAATGTTTTGCAGTTAAATAGTGGTAATGGTTGCACAACTGTGTGAATATACTAAAAAAACCACAGTACTGTATCTTTAAATTTAAACTAAACTTAAAAAAAAAAAAAGGCACTGATCCTTGGAGGAGTGAACAAAACCATTAAAAAAGGTGAATGTGGTAACGGTTCCCTCCTTTATGTTCTAGCAGAAATGTTGTCTGATAATCTAAGTATTCCCACTTGGGCCTTGAATGTTGTTTTAATATGTGTTTTATTGCCCTGTTCCTGACCTTCACAGGGCCACGATGGGCCTCCTGGAACATTGGTGTCTTCATCTGCATTCGATGTGCTGGAATCCACAGGAATCTGGGGGTGCACATATCCAGGGTAAAATCAGTTAACCTCGACCAGTGGACTCAAGAACAGATTCAGGTACTTACATAGCCCAACAGTGAGTCAGCTGTTCCCATATTTCCATGTAAGAGTAGTTCCATATGAATTTCAATCATACGGGGCACAAGGGTGAAGATAAAGAAAAATTTAGTTGTGAAACACGTCAGATTCTTATACCTTAAGAGAACATTCTTACTCTTTCTATTTAAGATATAAGTTATTCTACCCATATTTTCCCTCCTTCAAAACCCAAAGTCTGTGGTATAGGACCCCATGGATATGCCCCCAAGGTATAAAGGGGGATCTTTGGATTATTTTCTAAGGCCCCTGGGATGTGCAGATCTAACATTTGTAGTTTTAGATAGTCGTGCACACGCACACACACACACACAAATACTCCAACTTACAGACATATTTTGTTGCTAAAATATGTGTGTGAATCTTGCTTGCTGTTAGGTTGGTGGGCTGGGAGTAAGACGCTTATGTTGGTGAGTCTCGCTGGCTTAAGACCTGCAGCTCTATGTAGCTTTATTCTTATCTGTTCTCTTCCCACATCAAAACTTTTAGAAGTAATTAAAGCTTTTTTCCTTTTTTTAGAGGGGTGGGAATGGGAAGAAAGGATCCAAAGAAAATAGTTGCTACAGTTGGTGGTGGAAATAAGAGGTTTTCTTAACCAGAAAAGACTTTAGAAATTACTTTAGACTGCTTTTATAGAGTCCTCAAAGTCTAAAAGATTATTTGTATTTTTCAGTTACACTTTACTATATCTAATGAAGGAAATTACATGCCATGGAGGTAGTTGGGAATTTGAAGATAAAAAATTCAGGGATTTGTCCCTCACAAGTGTTAAGGAATCTATTTAAAAGGCCTAATGGGAAGCACATGTCTTGGTAATAAAGCTGAATAGATTAACAGTATAAACTCAGAATTCTAGTTATTACTCAATTATTGCCTGCCTGATTACATACTGATTATTGCCTATCAAGTAGACATTTTAATTGGTAGTTGCGTGTCTTGAGATTTCAAATGGGGTATTGAATTATTATTGAATTAAATATATCTTGTCAAATTTTTCAATAAAAAGCACGAAGGGGTGTGTGTGTGATGGACAGTCATGGAGGCCAATGATCGGCACTGGCGTGGAGAGAATTGTGGATGGGAAATCAGAGTACGCGCATGGATCTTGTGCTGCTGCCATCGGGTTGGTTCTTCAGTTGTAAAATGCTGCAGTTGGGCAAGAAGTTTTTCACGTCTTTCCTCATCTGACATTCCATGTTTCTACATCTTTTTGATTGCAGTGCATGCAGGAGATGGGAAATGGAAAGGCAAACCGACTTTATGAAGCCTACCTTCCTGAGACTTTTCGGCGACCTCAAATAGACCCGTATCTTTTCTGGAGCGACTTAGAAGGCTGACGGGTATTTTGGTGTTTTGGGAGTCACACAAGACTCAAGCCCCTTGATCTGACTGGGCCATCTCTATGTGGTGTAGTCAAAGTGTTGCTTTTTTCTCTCCTGCCACCAACACATACAAAAAGCATATTTATACTTTCTAATATCGGAATGGTGCTGTCACATGGGGAAGACTCATTTGGGAATGAGGACTGCAGTGGCTCACTGTGAATTCTCCCATAAAGTGACATCTCTGATAGTTTTTGAATCTTTGAAACTATTGTGTGCCAAAAAGAATAGATTACTGTGCTGTATTGAATCAGCAAAACTACCATTCATTCTTAATGCCTTTTCTGTGTCCTCTGTGAAAGAACGAACTGTTAGTAACCAGTTAATCAATAACTTTCTTCCCCCATCCCCTTAACAGGGGGTAGCACCCTACTCACAAAACCAAATGTCATAAAGGCAGTGCTTCTCAAAATGTGGTTTGTAGACTTTCTTTTTAGAGTTTGCTTTTTGCTGGGTGTGGGTGGAACCTGTTAAAATGCAGATTTGGGGCCCTTCAGAAGAGACACTGATCAGAATCTGGTCGTGGCGCACAAGGGCTTATAGTTTTAAGGGGCACTCCAGGTGCCTTTGTATAAGGCCTTTGACCCAGGGGCTTTAAAATGGATAATTGGCTGCTTTACCTGTATTCTAGAAGAGCCTCAGGTTCCTCTGATGTCAGTATGAAGATTAATCCTATTTGCTGCTATCATTATCCTGAAGGAAAATCATAGGAAATGGTGATTCCCTGCAGTAACCATGAAGGAAGCATTTTAAGGTTGTGGTCAGGGAAACTGCATGTGAAGAAACAGGAGCCATATGGAGAAACGAGGCAGGAGGGAAAGAGGAAGACAACATTCTGCTGAATACAGATCAACCTGTTAGAGTCATCCTATGGGAAAGATTGTTTGATTTATCCTTAATAAGCTTTTGCAGAGCTGTCGAGGGATTTATTCGAGATAAATACGAGAAGAAGAAATACATGGACCGAAGTTTGGACATCAATGCCTTTAGGGTTGGTTATCAATCTTTCAAGCTTTGTTCAAAATAAGTAATTTGCTTATAAATCAGGCCAGGGAAGAATTTAAGAGCTACTGAAATACTCCAAAATCATAAAAAAAAAAAAAGAAAGAAAGAAAGAAAAAAGCTAATTATTGAATCAAGGCCACAAGATATCATGGAGCAGACTTTCATGTCAGGGGCAGACAGGGCAAACCATCAGTGAGTTCTTTGCCTTGACCTGTATTTAGGCGTTAGTGATTCCCAGTTCCAAATTATTCCTTCAGATGGAGATGTTGGACATGCTAGTAATATGTCTGTGTATCTATGTGTATACATGTCTGTGTATATATGTTTTTTTTTTTTCTGTAAATGAAGTCAACAAAATTAACTAAATCACCAAAGTTTTCTTCAGTTTAACCAGTGTGTATTACCAGTGTGTTGATGGACACAGTGGGACCCTGTTCCCAAAAAGCGTTTTAGAAGGAGACTACCATCTTAAAAAAAAAAAAAAAAAAAAAAAAAAAAAGAAGGAGACTACCAGTTGCCAAGCTCACTTTCCATCCTAGGCATTTGGTTAGAATCTGAAACACAGTGTAACTAGGACAAGAATAACATACAGGTGAAATACAAAAGGTTTCTGGAAGAAGGAAAGGTGCCTGACTAGTGACAACTAAAGAGGAACCAGTATGACAACCTTAAAAAGCCTTTGATAAATTCTATAGTAAATTTGCTTAGGAATAATTGACTATTTCTTTAGCTTCAGAAGTATAGAGTATGGGATTCTCCAGCTCTAACATAAGTCCAATCTATCATCTTCCAGTTTTGTATTTTAATGGAGGATATACAGGACTCTAAGCCCTTCCAGGTAATTTAAAGTCAAACTAATTGGAATCTGCTCCAGATTGATCTTTTGGGTTTTGTGAAAAGGGGCATCAACTAGCAGGTGAGTTTCAATGTAGGCAAGTAAGTGCAGGGTAATATATTTAGTTAGGTAAAGATAATTCCTTCTCAACTTAGTATGAGGGACTCTTACTTCATAGTCATCCAGAACCTGTCATAACTGTTCCGTGAAAGAATCAACCCAGTGTAGAGCCGCAGCTTGGATGGCATCATCAAAAAGAGTTTGGAACCAAAGCACACACATTTCCTTTGATTTGTAGAAAACTGGTCTGTCTGCTCAGTGCTGTTCATTGTACCGAAAGATATGAAATCAGATGAGGTCAGAGATGAGTATCTGAGATAATCCAGACGATGGGGGAGGAGGGAAGAGTTGCTATATGAAGATAGTGTTCATTCAGACTTACATTGCTGGTGTACCGTACCTATGCAAACAGCCTGTTTTACTCACTGAATGTTTTCACTTAGGAAAGAAATACCTTCTGTTTACCAAAAAGTTCTTCCAAGAATTTTTATTTGATGTACTTAGTTTTTGAAAATATTCCTTGTGAAGATTTATATGCCAAGAATTAATATTTGGTAAGTGAAGGCAGGTAATAATCAAATTGAAAAAAAGTGACTCTGTTAGAGTATTATTCTTAAATGGACAGATAAAGTATTTTTCACTTCAAGAAATAAAGTGTTCTGTATTAAAGCACTATATCATGTATGAAACAGACATAGCCACATGTGTTCTTTGTGATTATAATATCATATTACAGATAATAAGAAAATTAAAGTGGAAAATCCATGCCTTCCTTTATCATCTTTACCAGTGATGATCACCTTGGTGTGTTCCCTCTTTTTTGTAGTTACTTTTAGGAGGCACAATTATACTAGTTACATAAATTGTCTACTATTTTCATTCAGTGTAGCATATTATATATTTTTATGTTACTTATATAATGTTCATAAGTTAATTGTTACATCCTTCAGTGAGTTACTAGATCACAGTATATTCTATATCACAGACAATGTAGAAGACAAGAAAGGTTGTTTAAATGTTTCTTCAGCATAAATAATTCTGGGACGAACTTCTTGGTGCATAAGGTTATATTTCCACATTTTGGATTATTTTCTTAAGATACATTACAAGATATGGTATTATCTAGGTCAAAGGGCTTCAGTATTTGTCTCTTTTTAATTTTGCCAGTATACTTTCCAGAAGTTGCATTGTTTTATGCTGTCTTCTAGGCATTGTAGAAGAGTGCTAGTTTTACTTGTTCCCTATCAACACTATTATTACTGAGATCTTTCTCCCCTCAAGAAAGTATTTTATTTTATTATTATTTTTTTAAGATTTTATTTATTTATTTGACAGAGATCACAAGTAGGCAGAGAGGCAGGCAGGGGGAGGCGGGGAGGCAGGCTCCCTGCTGAGCAGAGATCCCGATGCGGGGCTCGATCCCAGGACCCTGGGATCATGACCTGAGCTGAAGGGAGAGGCTTTAACCCATTGAGCCACCCAGGCGCCCTGAATATTTTTTTGAATGTACTTCCTCTTTTAAGTCCATGTTCTCAAGTTTGCTCTGAGGTTCTGTTTTGCATTTAGGTATTTATTTGATGTTAAAAATGAGACCAATACATTATAATCTATGAAAGAATTATGAAACTGCCTCTGGAAGTAACAAAAACTGAGAGACTTTCTAAGCTCTTATTTTTGATGTGCTCTTTTTTTTTCCCGGCAACTCTTTCAGGACCCCCTAAAAGGGATACTTTAATCCTTTTGCTCTTTTTTTTTTTCCTTTGGCCTTATTTCCTTAAATTTTTGTCCTCCCAATATTTAAGCTTGAAATTACAGTTTATTTTCTGATTTTAAAAAGAGGAGAGGAAGATTGGGAGGATTTATGATTGAATTTAAAATCACAAAGGATGGGGCACCTGGGTGGCTCAGTGGGTTAAGCCTCGCCTTCGGCTGAGGTCATGATCTCAGGGTCCTGGGATCGAGCCCTGCATTGGGCTCTCTGCTTGGCAGGGAGCCCGCTTCCTCCTCCTCTCTCTCTCTGCCTGCTTCTCTGCCTGCTTGGTCTCTCTCTGTCAAATAAATAAAATCTTTTTTAAAAAATCACAAAGGATGTATGTCAGGTAAGATGAACACGAATTTATTTACTGGTGTACCAAAATGAGGGGGACCCCTCAAAGCATGAGCAAGTTAAACTTGGGTCACAAAGGGGCAGCAAACTGGTGAAACGTTTTTAACTTCCGTAGGTAGCTGGACTCGCATTTCAGGAGTCATAGGTGAGTTAGACAGAACAAGGAGGTACTAAGTAATATGTGAAAGATGCCTCTTACAGCATTGAGGCTACTGTGGTGCAAAGAAACCCCCACGTTTGTCAGACTCCTGCGTCAGATTCAACAGAAATTTTTCTGTCCTTTTTGCACATTTGGAATTATAATTTGTCTAACTGTTGGTCACCATGGGGCCTGTGTTCTTTGTCTTGTTTTGTTAAATCGTTACAGAAAGAAAAAGATGACAAGTGGAAAAGAGGAAGTGAACCAGCTCCAGAGAAAAAAATGGAACCTGTTGTTTTTGAGAAAGTTAAAATGGTAAGTGGGAAAGTCTTCGCACTGGGATGGCCTGGGGTTTGTGTATATGTGGAGGGGAGGGGAAGGAGGCCTTTTGGTGGGTGGGGTGGAGTTAAGAGCATACTGCACCATTTTACTTGGGACCAGAGGGTTCCACATTTAGATTAGATTGCCTGGTGCCACTTCTGATGCTTTCCCATTGCCTTGTTGCCTAGTCTGCTCTGTGACTCTTCTCTTTGGGGCCAGTGAGGGGTTTGGGAATGGCATCTTGCCCCATCTGAGCTAGAGGCACGTTCCATGCCAGAATGCGTGATACCTCCTGAGCAGATGCTCTCTGCATCCTCTCTCATTAGACGCTCTCTACCTCATTTTCCTGTTGCGGTTAAGAACAGTCCAGAAGCTGGGCTGTACCAATCCATTTTAATCCTTCCTGTATTCTTGCTCTATCATCTTGAAGTAGACACCTTTCTTTTTTTCACAGGACATTGTGGCTATAGTAGTGGATACTCTAATGTAAAAGCTTGGAATCTTGGGAGAGAGGACTTTTTACTGTTTGCTTAAGGAAGAGTCTTTGATTGTCATTCTGAATCGCACTGTCTGCAGAACACAGTCATTAATGATACGGGCAGAGTGAATTAGGTAATCTTTAAACTGATCTCCCTTTTGGTATTAAAGTTTTTCTAATCACTGGGAGATTTGTTGGCTCTGGGCTTTTATACCCTCAGACACCTACCTTTATTCTTGGCTTTTTCTGGGACCGAAACCTGCTATTTTTGTAGGATCTTCTGATCTGTGGTTGTCTTGGTTTCAGAAAGCCAGACAAGCACAGATGATATCTTTTTCACTTTAGGTTTGGTTTATGCACTTACACTTCCTGACTTGATTCTTTCACCTGACACTTCCTGAGTTTGCTTTCTTTGGAACTCTGAATAACGGCAGCCGTACCACAAGAACACCTGTGGCTTTACAGTGACGAGAAGGGAAAAAAGCGTTCAAAAACACCTGCTTATTTCTTTCTTTAACATATTTTCACCTTAGCCACAGAAAAAAGAAGATCCACAGCTACCTCGGAAAAGCTCCCCGAAATCCTCAGCCCCTGTCATGGATTTGTTGGGCCTTGGTAAGAGTCGGACTTTCCCACTCCCATACTCTTACACATTATGATGAATTCTCTGTCACCCTGGGAAGATAGATAGCGATGGGATTCTTTATTTTGTGTCTTCATCGCTAAGATGGTTCTTTCATGTTTTTCCTGTTGTTTGACCTCTCAGCAGTCATTCTAAGAAATGTTTACACTTTTCAGAGCAATAGTGTAGCGTCGTGGTTTGGAGTTGGAGTCCCATCTCTGCCACTTACTAGATGTGTGACCCTGGGTAGTTTACTTAACCTCTGAACATTAATTGCCTAATCTGTGTCGTGAGGATGATCACCATCTCTGTTTCAGAGTGTTGTTGGGAGGATTCAGTGAGATTGTTCCTCTCAAGCTCTTCGCCCCTTGCCTGGCACGAGCCAAGTCTTCAGTAAACGTTCGCAAGTTTCACTAAACCAGCACCCACGAGCCATGCCCCCATCCCTCTCACTTTCAGATGCAGTGTGTTTCTGAGATGGCCTATTAACCTTGTGGTTATTTTTCTCCAGACCTTTGAAACCCTGAGCTAGTGGTCTGCCCCCTTCAGAAATAGAACCCATTCTTTACCTTTCACACATCTCATGGCTGTACTTTGGTTTCAGTGCATTTCTGCTGATTTAGGTTATGGGCTATTTAGGTTTATAATTTCTATACCTTCCATTTATCTCTGAAAAAGAGAGAAAAGCTACGCAGCTGTTCCCCTCAAATAGCCAGAAGGGAGCCAGCCAGCCCCTTTGCTAGGGGGCTGATAAAGCCTTCAGGTCTGGGTTTCTGCTGCCCCATCCCAGATAGCTGGGCTCCACCCTTCTCCAGCATGCTCCAGGGAAGGTAAGGTGAGGCCTTTTTTGAAATGCTACATCCAAGCTAGATGGTGTCCAAACCCTAGATTTCCAGGTCCCTGATGGAGCATACAGGTTTTCTCTGTGCACTTTGGGTCTAGAGTAGAAGGAAGTCATGGGCGTAATGAGCAGTGCTATAGTTGAGCTTTGCTATCTCTTACCAGATGCTCCTGTGTCCTGCTCCATGGCAAATAGTAAGACCAGCAATACCCTAGAGAAGGACTTAGATCTTCTGGCTTCTGTTCCATCACCCTCTTCTTCAGTTTCCAGAAAGGTGAGTCATGTGGATGCCTTAGGATTAAAGAACATTCTGAAAAGGATAATTTTGATAAAGTGGAACCAAGTCATACTTCTTTGGTGGAGTTGGACTTAATTAATTAGTTAATTAATTAATTAGCTTTCTTAATTCTTGATTCTTCCCTTAAACCTTGTGTCATCTCTGTTACAGCCTAAGATTACTACTCATTCTCTTTTGTCTCCTGCCCAAAAAAAGTGGGTCCTTTGAGTGGGCTTCTGTTGAAGGTGTGTCTCACTGTAAAAGCTGATACTTCAGGTCAGCTCCCCAGCGTGGGGGTTACTGCCAGAGAATTTGTACGTGTGAAAGACTTGAAACTGTTAATGGCTACCATTGGTGGACTACCTGCTTATGACCAGGCACAGTGCTAAGTAATTTTGTATACCCGTTTGCGTATTTCTTTTATAACTTAAAATATTTACCACAGCCCTGCAAAATGGGTATTTTATAGAAGAGGAAACATTAATTCAGAAAATTTATGACTAGCCTCTCGTTATGCAACTAGTAAGTGGCTGCGCTGGGATCTAAACTCAGTTCTCCGTGGCTGCGTCATTTGTAGGTTGATTTTTGTTTGTTTTTCACCGAATCACTTGTTCAACTATAGAATAAAGAATTGCACCAGAGCTTAACTATCAGGCGTTTTCAGTATTTGTGTGGTAGAAACGTTAGGAAGCTATTAACTTGCCCATGAATTCTTATTGCAGATGTAGAAGCAGCAGAGAAATGAGGGCGGTCCTTACCGAGACTTCTGTGAGGACCATTCCAATTCTCCCCTCTCCCCCTGCCCTCTTTGCCCTAAGGTTGTAGGTTCCATGCCAACTGCAGGGAGTGCCGGCTCTGTTCCTGAAAACCTGAACCTGTTTCCAGAGCCAGGGAGCAAATCAGAAGAAACAGGCAAGAAACAGCTCTCTAAAGACTCCATCCTTTCACTGTATGGATCCCAGACACCTCAGCTGCCTGCCCAAGGTAGATTTCACGGGGATGACAGCATTATGCCAGACAGAGACATGAGGACTTACACACAGGAATTATTTGTTGTAATAGGGTGTAGTTGCCTTGGGGGCGCAGGACATTATACCCTAAAGAGGTCTGAACATGACATTCCTTGTGAGGTTACAAAGTGTCAGCAGGTAGATATTAATGTAACTCAGAGCCATACTTTTGTGGGGTCTGGAGTCCCACTGCTGTAAAGTCTGACTCAGGGTCTGGACCTGGACCCTGAAAGGAAAGTGGCTAGGTCAGCAGTCCACTGGTAAGCCATCGCGTCTTGTAGGGAATCTCACCGTTCTGCTATGTAAAAGAGCATTCTGAGTTGAGTAGAAATGCTACTCAGAAATTTTAGCTGGCAAGGAGTAAGTAGCCAGTGAGCTTGGACTGACTTGGTGTCCTTTCCTCTTAAACGGTTCTCTGTTTATGTTTTCTTGGCAGCAATGTTCATGGCTCCGGCTCAGATGGCATATCCCACAGCCTACCCCAGCTTCCCTGGGGTCACCCCTCCTAGCAGCATCATGGGGAGCATGATGCCCCCACCCGTAGGCATGGTAGCGCAGCCCGGAGCTTCTGGGATGGTTGCCCCCATGGCCATGCCTGCAGGCTATATGGGTGGCATGCAGGCTTCAATGATGGGTGTGCCAAATGGAATGATGAGCACCCAGCAGGCTGGCTACATGGCAGGCATGGCAGCTGTGCCCCAGACTATGTATGGGGTTCAGCCCGCTCAGCAGCTGCAGTGGAACCTTACTCAGGTAAGCTACCCCATTTTCCTTGGGACAAGAGTTTGGAGCCTCCCTCAGGGCTGTCTCACGTCACCTCTTCCTTATCCTTTGAACCCTTATAACGTGAATGAGATAATGTGAGACATTCTTAGGTTTGCCACCCTCCCCCACCCTTTTTATTCCTAGAAGGTCTACCGAACATCAGACTTTCTGAGGAGTTCTGGGTTACTGTAGAATGAGGATAATTGCCTCAGTCTTAATTTCTCCACACAACTCCTCAAAACAAGAATTTTTAAAAAACCTATATAGGTAAATAAGGAATGCACATAAAACCACTCATAACCTATGACTGCCACATCTAGTAGATGGTATACTGCAAACTTCACATTATGTGGCAATAAACACCCAAATCCAGCAGAGCCAGCATCAGAGAGACTATATGGAAAGAGGGGAGGGAGCAGAGGGCTGGAGGTGACAGAACATAGACAAAATCACCCCCTGGAAGGAAGACTTATGAGATAAGAGGGGTGATGAGAGGAGGTCTGAGACTTGCCAATTAGAACTCTGGTTATGTGGAGAATCGAAAATGAGGGTCTTGAAATATATAAGGTTAAAGGTAGTAGCTCTGGAAAAGCATTTCTTCTAAGTAATGGGGTTGACTTAGAATCTTAAGCAGGCTCCATGCCCAGCCAGTGTGGAGCCTCACTCAGGGCTTGATCTCACAACCCTCAAATCATGACCTGAGCCAAAACTGAGAGTTAGATGCTTAACAGACTGAGCCACCCAGGAATCCCCTGTGGGGGTGACTTAGAAGGGAGAGGCACTCTTTGGGGACCTGGTAGTGAAGGGAAACTAAGAAATGAGAAGTGGAAAAAGGGAATCACAAAATGAGAAGATAAACCATCCTCTTCCTTCCTTCCTTCCAAATAATTTCACTATACCAACAGAAGAGGGCACTCTTGAACTAAGAAATCTAGTAAGCCTCCCTGAACTCACACCCATTTATTATTCCTGATTTCAGAAAAATAAGGCACTACAAAATAAATAGAAAGTGGCAGGTCACATTTATACAAACTTACTAGAAGAAAATAGAAAATGAAAATCAAAACATACCAAGAAATGAAAATTCTCCCCCCAAAACAACCATGAACAGAAGAAAACTGTTAACACAAACTACCAGCCTGAATGAGATGTCCTTTAACACTTGAAGACAAAACAGCTTGAATCAGAAATATAAAAACTCAGAACCAAAATGGACAAAAACTGGAATTTATGAAATGAAACTTTCCAGAATTCAGGAAAGAAATTGAAGAGACACAATTATCTTAGAAATAAAGTCTGAATTACAAGTTAACCAAAGGAGAATAGATTCAACTGAAAATATACTTGGCATTGAAGAAAGGCATGACACAGGTCAGAGACACAGGAAACTAAATATAGGAAGCAGGAAAATAAATCTAAGAGGAGGTAAAATAGAAACTAAGCAAAGAAGGCCTAACATAAATATATTTGGAGACTCCAAAGAAGAAAAACTAAATAGTGGAGCAGAATTAATATATTTAAATCTATAATACAAGAAAACATCCTATAAATAAAAGAATATAATATTGAAAGAACCCACTGTGTAAAAGTTGACCCAGAATGGTCAACTCTAACATATATGCCGGTAAACTTTCAGATTTTATGGAACAAGAATAATTCTCAGGGCTCCAACACTCTCTTTACCTCCCATCCCCCCAGATCTGCCATTTTTTATGAGACTGACTCAGGACCTTAGATCTGCCATTTTTTAAAGATGAAAAGAACACTCAGCTTGACATTAGACTTAATGACAGAAGACATTAGACTTCTAACTGCAGCATAAAAAAAAAAAAGACAATGATGGGAGTAGTATTTTCAAGATGCATACATGTCAGACAAGTATTTCACAGCCAGACAAGCAATCTTTCAAGGATTGAGGCTATTTTCAAAAAATCTTGATGTGCAAGAAATCAGAGAATATCATACGTATAAGTCTTTCCTGTGGAATGTACCAGAAGATAAGCTTCATCCATCTAAGAGATGAGTGGGGACATTTTGGCAAGAGGACTGATAGTGAATATATGTTTTACTCAGAACAAACAATGGTAACAGGAGGAGAAGGTAAAAAGGAGGAGGTAGGATAAATTGATTTTGCATAGGAAATAGGTGGAAGTTGAAGGGTGTAATAAGCTGACATGTCAAATGGAAGAAGCTTGAGTACAGAATAAAGGAAGCAAAAGATAGAAGTTATTAGTATAAAGTTAACCACTAGAACAAAAAATGAAACTTTATAAATACCCGAGGAATACTTTACAACAAAATGGAGTACGTAGACTATGAAGTACATCAAAACACAGTAAAAATGTAACATGATAGAATCAAGACCAAACATCAGTCATATCAACAGGTAGCTCTTTTATGAAAAGAAAAAGATGTTTGGCTTACAAAGCAATGCCTAATTTTGCACTGGATACAAAAATATCCACTGAAACAAAGTGATTCAAAGTCTGAAAACAAAGAGATGGGCAAAAGAGGTATTATTGGAGCAGCATGTGTGCCCACACGTATGCGTGCACACACTGTCTTTCTCAGGTTTGGGTGACAATGTTTACCTGCTGTATCAGAACTACTTTCTTGTTTTCCTTTCTCTGTAGTCTGGAATCGTTTATATAGGTCTTTGGAGATTGGGTAGAATTCCCACATGCAATTGTGTGGACCTTTGTGTAGTAATTTAATAGCATTCTCTCTTTGTTCTGTGAAAGTCAGTTTTGGAAAACTCTGTTTACCTAGATTAGCTAACTCACCTGGGGTTTTAAATTCATTTATCAAAGGTTAAGCCAAGCAGTCTGTTTCATGATTTTTTTAGTTTCCTCTTTCAATGGTTATTTCTCCCTTGTCATGTCTTATTTGGTATGTTTGTGGTTTCCTTCCCTCTTGCCATTTCTATTAGGCTAACTAGTGGTCTATTTTGTTAATTATACATATACATATATTTTAAAAATCCACAGGATTTTGTTTTATTTAGTCTAAATTTTTTCTTTGCTTGTTTTTGACTTCCAATTTATGGTTTATCTTTATTATTTCCTTTTATATGCTGCCTTTTGACTTACTCTGATCTTCTTTTTCTAGCTTTCATAGTTGGGATTTTAATTCGCTATTTTCAGTCCTTCATGTTCATTTGTATAAGTAATGAAGTGCTATGAAACTGTTGAGAATATGTCAGGACACATGAACCAACTTCTAGAGGTTCCAACTGTCCAAATATGGGACAATTTGAACATCAAAAGGAATGACACTGATGGATTATAACATTAAAGGAAAAGAAATCCATGGATCTATAGTGATATATTTTTTGAAATGGGTGTGGGAAAGAGGGAAGGAAAGCCTTCTTTACAGAGAAGAATGGCAACTAGTAATTGTAGAAAGAATGGGATATTCACATATTCTCAAAGAAATACCCTTTAGATTACTTACTAATTACAACAACAACAAAAAACCCCAAAAACCTCATGGTGGATAGTACCCTAGTAGAGTGCTCAAACGTAAGATTACCAACAGTGGGACAAATGAATATCATGTGCTTCTTGGTGTCTTGTACCGAGAAGGACATGATATCACTTCCATAGAATTTTTTGCCAAAAATGTTTAACTTGGATCCAATCATGAGAAAATGTGAGGTAAAACCAAGTTGAAGGATTTTCTGCAAAGTAACTGGCCTGGATTTCGAAAACAACGTCAGGAAAGAAAAAGTGGTGGGGGAACTGTTCTATATTAAAGGAGACTACAGAGATATGAAAATGAAATGTAACCTGTGTTAGAGTATTGTGATCATATTAAATTTTTTGTATTGCGGGTTTAGGAAAGTGTTCTTTCTTATGAGCTGCCTCCTGACTTACTAATTGGTGAAATGTCAGGACATCTGCTGTTTTCAGTGCTCATCAGAAATGTTCACTTAGGGCACCTGGGTGGCTTAGTTGGTTAAGCAACTGCCTTCAGCTCAGGTCATGATACCGGAGTCCCGGAATCAAGTCCCGCATCAGACTCCCAGCTCCAAGGGGAGTCTGCTTCTTCCTTTGACCTTCTCCTGTCTCACATGCTCTCTCTCTCTCAAATAAATAAAAATCTTTAAAAAAATTTTTTAAAACAAAAAATTTTAAAAATGTACATATATATATATATATATATATATGTACAAAGGTCCCATACAAGATATGCAGATCTCAGAAAATAGAACAAGGTATTAACAATTGTGAATTTAAGGAAGGATATGTGGGTTCCATTATATTGTTCTTTCAACTTTTCTATAAACTTGAGGTGTTTTGTTTTTTTTTTTAAAGTTGGTGGCAGGAAAATAGCCCTTCTCCTCAAGAAAAGAACTTACACAGAAATGTACCGGGCTTGGGAGATTTAAGGCATTTTTCTTGATAAATAGTTTCCTCTCTCCACTGCCAGAGGCCCGTCTTTCAGTCTCATTCATAAAGAGGTCCTAGCCCCGCCCAGACCTTATTCCACTGGTTCTTTTCTCCCAGCAACTTCCCCCTCACACATTGAAGACCCATTGGCCTTTTCTTTTTCCTTTCTTTCTTTTCTTTTTTTTTTTTTTGCCTGCCTTTGTTCATTCTAAACAGTCCAGTTGCTTTTTCCTTTTCTCTCGGCTTGAGCACACACAAGCACTTTCCCTGGCACTGACAGTCACGACTCTGCTGGAGATAAGACAGGAGCGCTGCTGTGGGGGCTCGGCTGCATACTCTTGGGGCTGGCAAGTTTACAATAGGCCCCTTCTTTTTAGGATGAGAGGCTAGAAAGGAAAAAGAGAATAACGACTCATGCTGCTTTTATGTTGGCTAGCTCCAGGACTGCTTTCCCTCTCTGAGCATTAATCTCTGTCAGCATCTCCCTTCTGGGAAGTCCTTATTTACGTGGTCTGGAGCCCTCAAAATGGTCTATTAAGGTTCAGGGCAGATCTGTACCATAACAATTTCCTTTTGTCTCATTCAACCCCTCCCTGCAGACGGAAGGACTCTTACCCTGCCTTTTTGCAATAATTGGCTGCATGCCCACAGCCGGGTCTGAAAGTCTCCTCTCTCCCTTTCAGATGACCCAGCAGATGGCTGGGATGAACTTCTGTGGAGCCCACGGCATGCTGACCTATGGACAGTCGATGAGCGGCGGAAATGGACAGGCAGCAAATCAGACTCTCAGCCCTCAGATGTGGAAATAAAAACAAAACACCTGTATGGCTACCACTCTCCTCAGTCCTCTCCCTCCCGGTTTTCCTCTTTCCCCAACTCCCCCATCCCATCCCTTTTTCCTACCTCTCTGGTTTAGAAATTGCTCAATCTGTCATTTGGGGTTTGGCATTCTGCCCAGCCCAGCCACTTCCCGGACACGCAGACCTCTCTGTTGCTTTATGTTGTATGTGTCCCCTCGCCATCCCGACTTCCTCTGCAGCCTCAACCCCAGTCCTCTCCTGGCACCAGCACCTTAGGAATTGTTGGCAGAAGGCACTTAAACTGTGGGAGAAAGGTGCAGACCTTTGAATACCTTTCCCCTGAGGTTAAACCTCCTATCAGACTCTCAGAAAGGTCTGGAGGTGTTGTCTTTTAGGCAAAGAGGGGAGGGTTTAGAGGTACTTATGTATGTGTTGCTAGGCTGTTTCTACACGTTTGAATTTTTGGTTGAAGAGGGAGATATCATGCTCCCATAATTTATGGGAGTGAAGAAAGTACTGAAATCAAATTAAATACTCCTTGGGTCTTAGGTCACGTTGGCCCTAGCCCTGGGCTGAGGCAAACCCCCTTCTGTGGGGATAAGCAAAAATATTACTCTACTTTGCCCTGAATTGCTTTCTGGATCTGAGGCTTCAGGACTCATTGCTTCAGTCAGCCTTTATTAGCACCAAAGACTTCACAAAGGTCCCACACAAGAACACACCCCTGCCCCACCTCTATCCTACATGCAGTGGGATCTGGCTCTATGGCTGGAGGACCAGCCCCTCCAGTGGGAATGCAGAGCTTAACGTGTGTACTGCTTGTGTGTGTGTGTGTGTGTGTGTGTGTGTGTGTGTGTATTTCACCTCCCACTCTTTCCCCATCTGCTCTGGGTGTTTTTGTTTTTGTTTGAGGTTTACACAGAGAGGAGTTAATTTATCAACAGCCTGAAACTGTTGCCACTTTTTCGTATAGTTTAAAAAAAAATTGCAATCTCATGCACAGCTCCCTTCCTCCTCCCCCACCCTCCCGATCTGCCAATCACCCTTTCATGCCTGTGTATCCCAGGCCTCTCTGTTTCCCCACCTCCTCCAGATGTGTGAGGCAGAGAGCCTGGACAGCTTTCCTGTCAGTCATTGTTCACCCTACTTGAAAATTAAAACAAGAAAACTTTGCTTAAGAGATTTCACCTGTGGGAACCACAATTCCTGGTTGCCTTTCTCCTGTGTATGTGTAAATTCCTTAATAAATATTGCAGGGAAGGACCCTTTGCTTGGCTGTTAATGTGTGTCACTCATGGAGGAGGGTGAGTTGCATCTTGGTTTCCTGCTTTCCAGTCGTAGTTCCCCCACTTCCTGTATTTTAAAAAATTTTATACTGGGAATGCCCAAGGACCAGGCCCAGGCTCAAGGAGTCAGAGAGGGGACCTTTGTCCTTTGCCCAGTGGTGTCTGGAGTTGTAAGCTGAGGAAACTGTGGATATCTGCTCCTGCTAGAGCCACAGAACATCGAAACTAGAAGTCCTTTTCTCCCCCACCAGACAGAGAAGCTGAGACCCACTTCCTTTCCTCCCTCCCTGCCTTCTTTCCTTTGAGTACACCTTTTAAATATTTCAGAGGTAAATGAGAGGATAGCTCAGTGGCAAAGGAAGTAAGCTCTGGATCTGGCTGCCAAAATTCATGTCCCTTTCTGTGCAAGCTGCTGAACCCTTGGGTTTCAGTGTAAAATGGAGCCTAATGGTCATATTTAAGGTCAAATGAAGCAATTCCTGTGGTACATTCTGCACAGTATCAGACCCTTAGCATTCGACTATTAACAAGTATCACGTGCCAGACCTGTGTTGGGCATTCATTCAACAGATATTTAATAAGTGTTTTTACAGTGTGCCAAACACTGTCATAGGCTCTGGAATAAAGCAGTGAATCAATACTTACCAATTTCATGGGATGTATGGGTAGGACAGACAATAAACAAGTAAATAAACTGTTTAATTTTAGATACAAGATAAGATGAGTAAAGGGGAGAGTGTGGGTGTGGAACCTCTAAGATGGAGTAGTCAGGAAGTGACATTTGAACTGAGACCTGACTAAGCAGCCACTTGTGTGGAGATCTGGAAAAAGAATAGAGCAAGTGTAAATGTCTGCTCTGGAAATTGTTTGGCTGGAGGAATCAATCTGGGAGTCATCAGGGTATGGATGCTATATAAAGCCATGAGATCAGATGAAATACCTAAGGAGAAAGCGCAGAGAGAAGAGGACTCTGCCTTGGGGGCCCATCAGCTTTTAGAATTTGGGAAGAACAGTTGAGGAAAAATGAACCTGACATAGTTCCTGCTCTTAAGAAGCTCACAGTCTCATGGGGCAACAGACGTAGAATTGCTTAGATGGCATATTATGGGAGCCAGGGGGCCTCTAGCCCAGTCAGGGGAATCTCTAAGGATAAGGGCATTGAGTTGAGTCCCAAAGGAGAGGTAGTAGTTAACCAGCAGGTTGGATGGGAATAGGGAGAAGAACATTCCAGGCAGTAGCACTCTGTGAACAAAGACCAAGACACCTACAAGAGCACAGCTCATTTGGGGAAGCGCAAGCAATGCAATGTTTGTAAGGTCTGGCGTGAGATGGTATGGGGAGAGATGAGACTGCGGTGTGGCCAGCCCAGACCATGGGCGTGTCCTATACCCTTGGAGGGAGTTTGGCCTTAGTGTTAGGAATGGTGGAGGGACATGGTCAGAGTTGAGTTTTAGGCAGCTCACCCGTGCATTGCGGCGAACAGTGTGTTTGAGGGAACAAGCCCAGACTTAGGGGAGCAGTGAGATGACAAAAGTTGAACTAGGGCCATGGTAGGTGGGGGGAGGAGGGATGGAGTGGCTCAAAGCAGGCTTTTGAGCTGCTTATGAGGCATGGGAGATGCTAAAAGGCGTTCCACAAAAATGTTGAAATAAGTGGGAAAGACTGCATGTTCTATCACCTCTTGTGCATCTAGAATATAATATCCACATAGTAATGGCTCTGGAAAGTCCCATGGTAAAGACTTAAAAAAAAAAAAAAAGACACAATAAATTTTATTTAAGGCAGTTTTAGGCTCACAGCAAAATGGAGTGGAAAGTACAGAGAGTTCCCATATGCCCCCTGTTCCCCATTCCCACAGCTTCCTTCACTATTGGTATTCTGTGCCACAGTGGTACAAATCCTCTGTGCTCTGCCTGCTCATCCCTCCCTCTTCTCTAGCCCCTGGCAACCACCGAGATACATACACAAACACACACACACACACACACACACACACACACACTTTATTTTGTTTTGTTTTTTTAACTGTCTCCATAGATTTTTCAGAACGTCATGTAGTTGGAGTCATGAAATATGTAGCATTTTCAGATTGGCTTCTTTCACTAAGAAATATGCATTTAAGATTCTTCCATGTCTCTTCGTGGTTTGAGAGCTCATTTCTTTGGAGCAATGAATAGTATTTCATTGTCTGGATATACCATGTTTTATCAATTACTGACAGACATCTTGGTTGCTTCCAAGTTTTGGCAATTGTAAAGTTGGTGTAAACATTCAAGTGCAGGTTTTTGTGTGGGCACAACTTTTCCAGTCATTTGGGTAAATAATATGGAGTATGATCACTGGATCATATATCAAGAGTATGATTACTTTTATAAGAAGCTGCCAACCTCTTTTCCAAAGTGGCTGAACTATGTTGCATTCCCATCAGCAATGAATGAGAGTTCCTATTGCTCTGCAGCCTCGTCAGCATCTAGTGCTGTCAGTATTTTTAATTTTGGCCATTCTAATAAGTGCATAGTAGTATGTCATTGTTTTAGTGTGCAGTCCCCTAGTTCAAATATGTTGAACGTTTTTTCAGATGCTTACTTTGCATCTGTATACCTTCCTTAGTGAGGTGTCTGTTGAGGTCTTTGCTTATTTTAAAAATTAGGTTGTTTTCTTAGTATTGAGTTATAAAAGTTATTTCTGTATTTTAGATAACAGTCCTTTTTCAGAGGTGTCTAGTTTCTCCCAGACTGTGGCTTGTCTTCTCATTCTCTTGAGTAAAGACCCCTTTTTTTTGTGGTTTTCTAGCATTTACCAAGATTTATTTTTCCATGAAATTCATTTTTTTCTGGAATACCTCATAACCATAGAATATTATTTGGGAAAAACAACCAGAAAAAGTATTTCAGGAAGTAGAATGGGGATGAGATGTGGGATGGAGGGAGAGAAAGGAATCAAATCTCCCATGTTCCTAGCGTGAGCGAGAAAGAATTTACAGGAGGAGAAGCTGACTTTCCCCTCTTAGAGGGTAGATGTAGGAAATTAGAAGTTTGGTTTTAGGCATGTTGAATTTGCAATGCCTGTAATATATTCAGGTTTGGTTGACCAGCTAGAAATGGATTTGAGTCTGAGGTTTGTTCAAGGAAGAAGCTAAGATGGAGAAATGAACTTGACAGTCAGCCCCATGGAGGTGGTAATTGACGCCATGGGAGTGGAGGGGATCATATAGGATGGATTTTTAAAATACTGTGCCACTGGGCACAGTATCTTGGGGGAAAGTACTAATTTCTAATCAGGGTTAAGGAGGAAAGCCCCAAGAAGGAGAGGAGGTGGTATGGGAATGAGGAGGAGGAGCAATTAAGGAAAGCAAAGCAAAACAAAAAACTCCAAGGAAGGGCAATGTCAAGGAACCCTAGGGACTAGAATATCAGGGAGGGATGATCACGAATATCAAGTTAGTAGGAAAATCCATTGAGATACAGACTGATAAAAGGACTATTGAATTCAGCATTTGGAAACTTCTGCAGGAGCAGTTTTAGTGGAATGGTAGGTTGAAGAGTGAATTGAAGGAGTTGAAAAAGTAGAGAAACAGGCTCTATTCAGTTAAATATACATGTTAGGTTTTAAGGGTTACTCTTAAGAATAGAAATAGAGTGTAAATCACCAATCAATGAAGAGGGAATCTTAGAATAAGACGATGCAAATAAACAAAAATATCAAGCCTCTCCCTCAAGCTTCAGACAGTAAGAAGAAAAAGTAAGCATAGAGAGGTGCCTGGGTGGCTCAGTTGGTTAAGCATCCAACCCTTGGTTTCAAATCAGGTCTTGATTTCAGGGTCGTGAGATTGAGCCCCAGGTTGGCTCCATGCTCAGCATGGCGTCTGCTTGAGATTCTTTCCCTTTCCTCCCTCTGTCCCCCTGCCCACTCACACGCTTGCACATGCGTGCTTTCTCGCTCTTAAATCTTTCTTAAAAAGTAAGCATAGAAAAGTGGAACAAATAGAAGTAAAAATGCAATAAATGGGCTATTAAAGATATGAGATTGTCAGATTGGATAATTAAAATAAATTCTTTGGCATCCTAGACCTTTCTTCTAAGACCACTTTCCTTCAACTGAAGTATATCCTTTGAAGCTCCTTTAGTGAAGGTCTCTTTGAGTCTTGTCTGAAGTATAAGGATAGGAAAATGTTTAAAATAAAAGAATGGAAAAAGAAAGAGCAGGCAAATAATCAAAAGTCAGCAGGGATCAGTATATTGACAAAATGGACTTTCAGACAGCATTATTAGAAACAGGATTTCTATGTAATAATTAAAGGTTCAATTCAAAAGGAAAATATTATTCTAAACCAGTATGCATTTTACAGCCTCAAAGTAAAGCAAAAATTTATAGAATTTCAAGGAGAAAGAGACAATCTACCATCAGTGCATAAAACAAGCTCCACCAGGCTTTTTTTGTAGGTACTGAGAGTCTAATGCAAAGGACCTAAAAGAGCATGATGATTTTGGAAGAAACAAACATTTGGAGAGACAATACTACCAGATTTTAAGATTTGTTATGAAACTAGAGTAAGACTGTAGAACTGGTACAAAATAGACATAGACCAACAGAATAGAATACAGAACCCAATACACATTGATTTATGAAAGTGGCAATGCAGAGCAGTGAAAAGAACAGTTATCCCAATAAAGGATGCTGGAACATTAGACATACAGACAGGAAAAAAGTGAAAGTCGACCCTCTACCTCACACCATAATGAAAATGAATTCTAGATGGACTGCACATCTGAATGTGAAATCAAAATGGTAAAGCTCCTAAGACATAATAGAGAATATCTCATTCCTGGCAGAAGGAAAAACACTGAAACAGGACTTAAAAAGCACTAATCATGAAGAGATTTATAAAGTTGGCTAGATTAAAAATAAGAACTGTTTATCAAAAGATTCCATTAAGACAGTGGAAAGGCTTGCCACAGAATTAGAGAATATATTTGAAACACATGATAAAGGGCTTACATCCACAATACATGTAGAAC